CCTTTTAAAAAAAATACCGAAGCAATAGCCTCCCAGAAACAGTCATTGGAAACTGCATGACGATGTTTGGTCCAATCTAAAAAATCTCTGAGTCAGAGCTAACCTTCGCAGATAAAGGTGTGGGTTTTCTGCACACTGTTCTCTCAGCTGGGATGTTCAGCTATTCCAGGCTGGTTCAGCTATTCCACCAGCCTGGAATAGCTGCCTTCCATCCTGTTATTCCCGAATGGAAGGCAGCTCTGATAAAGAAAAAAAAACCTGCAATCAGGTAAACAGCTTATCTACAGCTGCTTAACCCACCGTGTTTTTAAAAACTAAAACACACTAAAGTTAATAAGAATTTATTTTTACTAAATCTGTGTCCCTGCCAGGTTGAAGTGAAATTTGACCTCTGAGGTTCCTGGTTTCAAATCTCCAGAGCAAGTCATCAGTTCCTAAATTTTGTTGAGTCATGTGGTACATCACCAGATTACCAAGGAGGTCAAATTCTTTGCTTTAAAGTGCTTAGACCATTTAACTTTGAGTCATTCTCAGCTGGACATTCGATCCCACTGTGCTGTGATGAAGGGTGGCCAAACCTTCGCTGCCAAATGAATCCTGTCCTGCTTTCATTAGGAAACTTTTTGCACTGTAACAGATGGTCAGAACACGTACATTCACGGACACACACAAACACACACACACACCACCCACTGATAAGCAATCTCACCTACTCTCTCAAGTTCCGCAATTTTTCACTCCCTACTTTTTCTCATCTGTCTCCTCCTCCTCTTTAGTCCAAAGTCATGAAAACTTGGACGTTTCCACGGCTTTGAGAAGATATTACTATGTTCCACTATCCAAAGAAGCAGATTTGACATTTTTCTGTTTAGTGAAACAAAATGTTAATTATAAGTATTGCTGTAGAGCCGTCTTTCTGGATAAGATAAGATAGACTTTATTGATCTTACAGTGGAGAGATTCATTTGTCACATCGGCTCAATAGTCAAAAGAAGGTGCCAAAAGTAGGAAAAGGTGCATGGGGTATATACAGTGCGTATACATGTGCGTGATAAAAGAAATCCTCTCCTTCCACATCTTGCAATAACCTATAATGGTCCAAAAATAATTCTAAACAAAAAATGCATCATAATTGAGATGTGAGGCTGATGAAGGGTAAAACAAGAAATAAACTTTCCACCGTGAAGTTTTGCTTATGTAAGCAGAACTTGTGAATAATATTGAGGAAGATATTCACCCAGTGCAGCAGTTTTTTGTTTTGCCTTTTTTGTTGAGAACTTGCTTTTCTAAAGACAGATAATTCAGAAATATGTCTATCAAAATCTCTGTGCAGGGACTGGTTTTGTAAAAAGCAATATAGCTTAAAGCACAGGATGTAAGAGCCCAGTGGACACATTTTTATTTCTTCTACTACAGCCAAAAGGATGTAGAGATCATTGCTGCGAAGAATACAAGCAGTGAAAGGGAAAAAACACCTATATGGTGGCTGTTATGTTGCTTGAGTGTGCATCTTAATCACTGGTTTAACCCAGAAAACAAATTAAAAACAATTTCAGATAGGTTACATTATAAGACTATAATATTTTTTATCCAGTAAGTGTATATGTGGGCGCTGTCTGGATAAAACCAGACAGAGTCATTCAAAGTGCAGCTCATCAGTTCTTGTTTATCCACTAGCGATGATACATTTTGTTTTCTTAAGGTTAACATGTGCCTAAAGGATTTGTTCAGGACGCTGATGCATCAGCTGAAAGCTACTGCCATGCAGGTCAGAAATGAACAACCTACGCTGGATGCTATATATGTCATCCATTTACATGTCTCTGAAGACTTTCAACAGCACTTTGCTCTGAACTTTTAAGGTACATTCACACTAAATGTGAATTTTGCAGCGATGGTCACTAATATAGGGGAGCGAACGGCACGATTTCTGTGACATTTGACCGCCACCTTGCCTGCACTAGGCACTAGAATCTTTTGGAGGTAGAGTGAAGGAGCCCAGTGGAGAAAACCTTTAAAAAAAATAGAAGAAAGAAAAAAATTTTGACAAATGATAAAGCATTAGAAAAGGAAATAATAGGCATGATTTGCTAATAGAAATTCAGTTCAGTTTATTTAGATGGTACAGGGGTTGTATGGGTATTTAGTTTTGTTGGGCTCCTGCACATGAAGGAGCTAAAGTTAATGAAGCTGCAGACAAATTGTCTAAAAGGGCTTAGATAGGGCAATAAGAGTAACGATTTTCCTAAGGAAAGAGTAAAGAAACAGAAATGAGGAAAACAGGCGGAATGAAGATGATAAAGGAAGGTGTTTGTATAGCATACAATAATCTGTATAAGTTAAAATCATTAGTGAGAAAACAGCAGGGAAGATATATTAATGAACAGATTAAGTGTAGGTCATTCCTATCTAAATTACACTCTTCATTCAACTGGGAGGAAATTTCATGCCCTTGTTTTCCTAAGGGGATAACAGGGCCTTTTTAAAAGACCAAAATATTCTTGATGTTTTCCAATCCAGATGTAAATCAATGCACAGCTCTTTTGGAAGTTTTTAATGATATCTTTTTAGCCACAGACTCCGGTAACTGTGTTATTCTTGTGCTTTTAAGTTTAACTGCTGCATTCGACACCATGGACCTTGATCTCTTATTTGGAACAGTGTGTGGGCATCAGGGGCGTATCTCTGGAGTAGTTCAGGTCATATTAGGCTGACCAAACTTTCTGTGTCAGCCTTGGTGACTCTGTTTCCTCCTCTGCTCTTCTCTCATGTGGGGTTCCCCAGGGCTCACTCCTGGGTCCTATTTTGCTCTCTCTCTATTTTCTCCCGCTTCTATCCATGCTTAAAAAGCATGAGATTTTTTAACACTGCTATCAGATGACAGTCAAATTTACAGAATGTCCCTCTTAAAAAGAAAGATGCCCACTGTATCACTGCCTTAATCAAGTGTCTTGATGACATAAAGACCTGGATGTCTCTGAACTTTTAAAATTTCAACGAAAGAAAGACTGAAATTATAGTTTTAGGGTGACACCACTGGAATAGATCTGGGCTTTTTGGCCCAGCATATCAAACCAGTTATCGCTAACCTAGGGGTAAAAGTGGATGCATCTAAGGTTTGACTGCCAGATCAGGGTGGTTGTTGAATCAAGTTTTAATCATTTAATACAGTTGGCAAAAATAAAGCCAATTATTTCAAGGAAAACAGTTTGAAATGGTAAACCACGCCTTATTTACCACTGGGCTGGATCATTGCTACACCCTCTATGTGGGGGTTAGTGCCTTCTCCAGCTCTCGTCTCCAGATGCAGCATACCTTTTAACTGGTACTCGAAGGTATGAGCACATCTCCCCCATGAGCACATCTCCCCCATTTTAGCCTCATTCCACTGGCTGCCTTTTCGTTTTAGAATTCATTTTAAAATTCTTTTATTTGCTTTTAAATCCCTGAATGGGCTTGCCCCACCGTATCTCCTTGAGCTTCTACTTCCTTATAGACCTTCTCGCTCTCTCAGGTCAGCTGCTCCTGAGAGAGACTAAAACTAAGGGGAGGCTCAGAGTGGACTGTGCCTACGCTGTTGCAGGTCCAAAGGATCTGGAATGACCAGCCTCAGCACATCAGACAGGCCTCTTCTCTGACTGTTTATAATCTATCAAGACAGTGGGCTTTATTTCATTTCACATCATTTTATTCCTTTTATCTTTTTCCCAATGTTATTGATTGGTTGTTATTTTTATTATTATATGTTATTTTTACACATGGTTTAGCTGTTTTTTTTATCCGTACTGTTTTATTTATTATATTTTTCTGCACAGCACTTTGCTCAGCTGTGGTTGTTTTTAAGTACTTAACAAATAAAATTGGATTAGTTCCCCCAATGCGGGACAGCAGAGCTACGAACTGGGTCACTGATAAGCAAGTACAGCTAGAACGACCGTCACCCAGACCTAGCCTCTGGAGGAGGTGGTGGTATTCCCCATAAGGGTTCCATCTCTGAGAATCTGGAGGACCTACAGTAGGAATGCCGACAGCTTTTTTTTTTTGGCTCTCTAAAGTAAAAACACTGCCAGTCATTTTGTAAATCCATATGTCGCTATGATAAGATATAACCAATGATCAGCAGATTTAATGATGTTAGAGGCTTTCAATGCTTTTGCCCACCAGGTGAATATCAAGGCAAGCAAAAGCAGACAAAACTGCTGAAGTATTCGCAGGTTTAGTATCCGGTGTGAACACACCTTATGCTATAGCACAGAAAATACAAACTACCTAAAAGCATTTTCAAAATGATTTTTAACTTAGTAAACCTTTCCAACTTTATCCAAAATATTTTACTGAGATTAGTTCTTAAGTTATCTTGCTATGACTCTATATAGTGTATTTTTTCTAATAGATGTCAAAAAAATAAAAAAATAACAACCCTGACCTTCTTTTCCACTTGGCATGTTTGAAGTACCTCAGAGATAAACACCAGCATATAAGGTCAACAATTACAAGGCAAACCATGTCAGAAGGCTGAGGGATTACGCCGTGATTTAAAGCGCAAACACACACAGCCCCAGATGTCACACGACACACAGATCATTCAGGACCCTTAGATCTCATTTTTTGTGAAGCTGCTCGCACTTTGATACACAAAAGAATGTAAGCAAGCACGTGTGAAGTGACAGCAGCTGTCAAACAGCAGCGGGGCAGACAGGAAGCGGGCTCGTATGGAGAGCAGTCGGGCAAATGCCATCACCTATTATAGACATAACCAGTGGCACTGCCACACACACAGAAACACACAGACACAACTATTGCCAAATCCACAGTTTCAAACAAAAGACAGGTGGTCTGGAGAGTGCATGCATGAGCTTCATTATTTTTCCCCAGACTTGTACAATATTGATGTCACAGAGAGAAAACATGCAGATTAGCTTTAAAAACATGCAGCATTATAGGTGCTTGCATGTGAGATAAACACCCAGGTTTCTCCCCTTCAGAGCAGGAATTCTTACCTTTGTGGTAGTTCATCTGCTTGGACTGCAGGGAGAAGGTTCCCATCACCAGACCCATGTTGACTTCTTGTGTGTGAGCCTGGGTGTATGGTTTAATTAAGGTGTTTTAGCAAGTGCGCACCCAGCAGGTGTCTGTCATCTGTGATTAAGTGAATCCGTCAGCCGGCTGTATGTATGGAAGTACAGATATCACTCCTCCTGCCGCCTCACACCCACACAGCTCGGCTTCTTCTGCTGGAGGGTGTGTGAGCGAGAAGAGAAATAGTGTGTGTGTTTCTGTATGTGAATGAAATGAGCAGGAGACACGCACTCTGAAACTACCTTTGTCTACCCTGTCACTGGAGCTGCCTATTTCTCATGTCTCTTTCTACTCTTCACGGACCCTCCCTCTCAGTGTGAACCCAAAGCCAGACTTGTCATTCCATCAGTTCCTCCTCGCCTCTTTGTGTTTGTTTCTCCCTGCTCCCCTCCGTCTCTCCTAGTCATCTCAGTCGCTCTGTCTATGTCTGTCTGGTGGGGGAACCAGGGGCTGCACACTGTTGCACGGGGTAAGAGGGAGACAAATCGAGGGGAGGGGAAGAAAAGGAGAACAAAGCAGAGGGGAGAACAAATGGAAGGGGGGCTGAAAATTACAATGGAGAATATAGAAAGGGAGATGAGGAGGAGGGTGGGAGTGTTTAGGATGTTTAGGATGAGGCAAAGAAGTGGACTGAGAAGAAGAGCAAGAGGTGAATGGGCATAAAGGAGAGGCAGATTGATCTGTCCCCCCTTTTGCTATTCAGCAGACAAACTGGCTGTGGGGAAGCGTATGAGCAGCTTTATCTCTACATGCACGAGTCTGACAGGTGGTGTGTATGTGATTACTCTACCAGAGGGTAGGGCACCCATACATTCCCTGCACATCTGATGCTGACATGCTGCTGCACACATGCAAGCACCACCATCCACACTTTGCATCAGACATGCTCTGACTATCAAGTCCAAATAAATGAGCCTGTTTCCGTTCCCCTTCTTCATTACACAGAAATGATTTTCTTTTGATGAAAGAGGCAGAAATGTGTGAGAAGCAAACAACATAAAAGCAGTGATAAAGGATGTTTACAGTTTATAGATCAGTATGATTTTACATTTCTATTTTTGAGTTTTCAATTTAATTTGAAGGTTATGAAGTTATGAAGGTTAACAAAACAATAACTGCAAAATATGCATTTATGATATTTTCGTTTTCAAACCTTGGTATTTTTTTATTTTTTATTTTTTTGGAATTCCGGGGTCATTTTCCAAAGAATGTAAATAATAATACAAAAAAATGTATGTTACTCATAGTTATTGGTTTAAGATTTGGATGAGGATTTAATGATTGATTGATTTTATTCTATTTTTCAGATGTAAAGCTGCCATTTTTATTTACCAAACAAAACCTTACATACCTGTAAATAATTTCTTGGTAGAGTTGGATTGCAATTCCAGATGCTTCTCTTTTTGCTGCCGCAATCAATGACAGGTTGACTTGACCTTGTGTTTTATATTATTTAGATATCTAAGGCCCATCACAGCTTCAGGGCTAATAGGTGCAAATGTTCCTTCACCGGCAATATGATTCTCTAATCAGTTTTCACAAACTTTCGGGTATATTTGTAGATCCAACATCCCCTAAACACTAAATACAATAAATACCTAAATACTCTACTTTATATGTTGTTACAGAACAATTTTAATCCTATCCAAATGTAACATTTATGGTTTTGGCTACTTAGTTTAATTTTGGGCTCACCACTTCGAAAAGTTATTTACTGTTTTTTTTTTAGGCAAGTATCTAAACCGTTTGATGCATGGTGTCAGTGTGTTATGTTTTCTTTGGTTGAACTTGAGGCCAGAGTATACTGTAGTAAAGAGGCCTAGGTTGCTTCTGACGATGGGAATCTTCCTGTTAAAAGGAAGTTTTTCCTCTCCACTGTCGCTACAAGCATTCTTAGCGTGAGGGATTGGATTCGAGTCAATGAGTCGATGTTTCCTTAGATAGAAAACTTTGAATCAATTTGAGTGTATGATCTGATGAACTGTAAAGTGCCTTCAGATGACATGTGTTGTGAATTGGCTCTATAGAAATAAACTGAATTGAATTGAATGTAGCAAAAAAAAAAAAAAATACAAAAAAAAGAAGAAACAGGTACAAGAGGAATGGAGGAGTATCTGACAAGAAGATAAAAAAAAACAAGGGGAATAACAGCTAAAGGGAAAATAGGCAAGAAGGAATTTAAGCAACGTAAACCCCGAATTAGACTGCCTGTAGCTTCGTCTCCGCTCTCCTCCCGTCCATATGTTGTTTGGATTTGCTTCAGATATGATTTACTATGCATTTCTTTGTTCCTCTCCAATCAGCTTTTATTTCATCAACCAAAAATGATTAACTGAGACTGGACAGATGAATACATATGAACTGAATTGAATTAAACTGTTTTTGTCGTTAATCAACATTAGGCAGTTTTGTTATTCCTCCAGTGCTCCCTCAGCCTAAATCTATTTAAATTACAGCAGGTGGGATTAGGCGTTTAGTGCTAAATCCTGCATTTTACATTCAGGTTTTTAGCACATACAAAAACAGATTGGATCTGCGACACAAATGAGGGACTGAGGCTTGTCTGAAACGTAACCCGTCTCACATTTGCTCTTCTGTCAGTTGTGTTCTGCTCACGTCAAGCTGGAGTTAGGAACTGAGGCATCAATGAGACTGGCCCCATACAACTGAATCCAAAGCTAAACCTACTAGACCATAGCATTTACTGCCTATTATTGCAGGGAAGAAAAGTTTAGAGGATTTAGAAGAAGGAATATGAAAAAAAAGGGAGAAAATGTAAACCGACTTGCCATAAATCTAATGAGCAAAATGTCATATGTAAGTAATATCGCAGAAAACAAACATTTTCTCTATTTTTCAAGATGAAAATTTGACAGCCTGTCTTGATTGTAACACATGCACTACATCCCGATTTCACACTTACCCCGCATGCTTACACATCTCATAACATGCATAGACACCCACGGTAGCAGCAAGAGAAAATGGCAATATGTCAACTGAAAAAAAAAAGAAATACGTCTTTGAATAAACACCAGCAGTGATGCAAAGAATCAAAGATTAAACACAGACTCTGCCTGAAAAGGAGAGATAACACAATTTGTTGTAACGAAAATGCTTAACTTCAGTGTTGGTGTTATGTACACTTCTATCAGCAGAAAGACAGCCTTTTCTCCTGATCAAACACATTCTAAAGAACATTTTTGAACGAAATGAATAAAAGCCCTAAAAAGGCTGAAAATACAGTCTGATCTTTTGGGTTTGATCACTGTAAAATTGACAGATTATAAACAGTGTTTCAGAAAAAACTAAAGAGACCAAAGAGAGAGAATAAGAAGAGAATTGGAATACAATGCAATACAATAGAATCAGCTGCAGACTAAATCAAAGTTAAATCATAAAGACTAAAGTCTTATGATTTAAATGTGTTAAAGCAACATTGGCAGCAGGGCGTAGATTCATGCCTTACAATATATGTTGTTGGAAAACATAATTGATGTAATTTATTTTTTCTAACCCATCATCAAGCTTTCCTTTATGGTTTTATGTTGTGCATGACCTAAATCACAATTATGTAGTTGAACATATACAATGTGTGACACAGAGGCTTTACCCACAGCCTTCAAAATAACATACATTAACAGACTGAATTTAGTGGTTAGGCTTAGCGGTGGGAAAATTGGAGCACTGCATTATTTTATTTTTGTTAATGGAAAAAATGTGTTTCTGTTTTCCTTAGGGGCATGAAATTATCCATATTTATTAAAAATTTAACCCAAATGTAGACTTGAAATGTGCTGAGATAATGCTTTGTTTTACTCTTTCATAAGAAATTTTAGGGAAGATGTTTTTTCTCGGATTTGATAGAGTTCATAACTCAAGAGATCCTTGCAGCTTACTATTCTAACATAACAACCAGAACCTGCTCAGCATGATCCAGTATTCATTAGTCTTCCAATCTTTGCTCTTAAATTGATAGTTTCACAAACCATCTCTTCTGCTTTCTGACACTTTTCATCACACACTTGTTAATTAAACATTAGGTCATTTGTTGTTGTGTTGTTTTATTCAATCAGTTCTTGTTTACATTGGATTAAATGCTGGCCTAGCTTCTATCACGCTCGCAGAGAAGTATTCCTTTTTGAGATAATGGACTGAGGACAGCAATAAAAAATGGCAGTTTTAAATACTTATTACAGTATGCAAAGTTAGACTTAGACTTAGAGACTTAGACAGATTTAATTTGTTTATTTGTCATTTTAAATATCTATAAATCTATCAATCTCACAAATGTATGTATTTGCCCTCTAAAAATGTGCAAATCAGGAAAAACCAGTGAAAATTGTATTTTTTACTTTAGTATATAAATTAAAGATGTCAGGATAATGTTCCAAATATCCTGCACATTATGGCCAGGTTGAAATCGGGTGGATAAGTTGTAAACATTGAATATTCCCCCAATTTTCAAACAAAAATAGCACATACAGTACCTTACGCTAAGTCTGGTTTATCTTTTCTTGATATAACAATATGGCTTATAAGTGGAGAATTTTTTTGATATCACCCACCTGATTTTTAAATATACACTGTAGATGTTTGCACTTCAAAATAATATATCCTCCATCTCAGAGCCGTACAGTAAGAAAATGAGTAAAAAATAAAAATGTATATACATTTTCATCTTTTTATCTTCTGGAGCTGTATTAGTTAAAACACGTTTTCTACCCTTCATCAGCTATTAAAGATTTTTTTTTCTTTCCTTTACAATAATTTAATTTACAGCTTAATGTTAATTAGATTTCTTATAATCACAATTGTCATTTTACCTTTAGTTTTAAAAAGCAAAACAGAAACAGGGTTTGAGTCACTAGCTGCAATAGCAACAAGTTGACATCAGGATTATCTGGACCCATGAAGTAGTTGCATGAATTCAATTTAAATTCACATTTATGTGAACCAAAAGAACAAAAAAAAGGTCTCACGTTTGATACGTGACTATATGGTTCAATCCGTTTGAACCAGAAACATTAATAGAATCATATTGCATAACTGCATTATGAACTGCTTTGGAATAGGGCTCATCACATCATCCAGGGTGCTGTGAATCACTCAGAGTGCCAGCCCGCTTTTTCTTTCAGCATTTATTAACTATCACACCGCAGACCTTTTACAGGCTTGAAATGACAGCCTGGATGAATAAATGGAGGCAGGGAATGAAAAAAAGACAGATTTTAGTTGTCAAGTTGGAGGATAAAAAGCATTTCTCTGCAGAGACAGAAGGTGTGTTGACAAGCACAGAAAAGGGTGAACAGGCATTGAATAATAAAATGGCCGCTTAGTTGTTGTCTGGTCTTATTAGACGAAATCTGGATGAAGTCTGTCACAGTGAAGACCACGAAGATAAAAAAGGTGATGAAACTGAAAGCAGGGAGCTCTGGAAAGATGGACTACAATGACAAGA